ATAATTTCTCATTAATGCCAATCATTCTCTTGCCATTAACATAACCTTCAGTAAATGATGTTTTCCAACTTACATTAGGCTGCAGCTCATATTTAGTCGTGAGCGGTGCTTTTGGAACATGTGTTGTTGTGGTCAATTTATCATAAGGGGATAATTTTGAATTGTCCAATTTACTCGGATCCTCTGTGGGAATGTTTAGTTCAAGGACTGCATAATTATTTGTGTTATTTTTATAAGCTTTTGGGAATTCAGAGAACTGCCACGCTAACTAAAATATCGAAAGAGAAGGCAAAAGGCACAAAGCCGAGGCAGGCAGCCCTTCTGGTTGCAGCAAGTGCTCGCAGCTGTGGCCTTGCCAGCAGCTCTCCCTCCAGCGGCCCTGCCAACTCGGAGAGGGCAGCCCAAGCTGACTCCTTTAGGATACTGCCATGGTGTGGACCACGCAAGCCATCCTAAAATTTTATATGGAAATACAAGGAACCCAGAATTTGCAAGACAATCTTTTTTTTGTCTTTTTCCGTGTCCGGCAACGGATCGCAACCCTCAGTGTCGCCCCCGTACCGGACTGGGACCAGCAACGGGATCGCAGCCCTTGGTGTTGCTCCCGCGCGTGTTGCTCCCGCGCCTCGCTCAGCCAGTGAGCGGGAACCGGTCTGTATGTGGGATCCGAACCCTTGGTGGGAGCGCCGCCGCACTTCCCAAGTGACGCACTATAGCAGTGCGCCACCAGGCCAGCCCCATGGACAATCTTAAAAGAAAAACAAAAATGGAGAACTCACACTTACAATTTTAAAACACGCACTATAGCAGTGCGCCACCGGGCCGGCCCCATGGACAATCTTAAAAGAAAAACAAAAATGGAGAACTCACACTTACAATTTTAAAACTTACCACACAACTGTAGTAATCAAGACGGTGTGGTTGGCATAAGGATAGACATATAGATCAAAAGAATAAAATTCAGAGTTCACTAATGACACGTATTCCTATGGTCAACTGATTTTCAACAAGGTTTTCAAGACCATTCAGTGGGAAAAAGCAGTCTTTTTAACAAATGTTGCTGGAAGAATTGGATATCCACATGCAAAAGAATAGAATCGGGCCTCTACCTTCCACCAAATACAAAAATTAATTCAAAATAAATCGAAAACCTAAGTGTAAGAGCTCAAACTATGAAGCTATTACGATAGAACATAAGTGTAAATCTTCATGACCTTAGATTAGGTAGCAGTTTCTTACATGACACTAAAATGGCAAGCTACAAAAAATAGAGAGAGATCAATTTGACTTCAAAATTAAAAAGTTTGGTGCTTCAAAGGACACTATTAAAAAATTAAAAGACAACCCATAGAATGGAGGAAATAATTTCAATCATGTATCTGGTAAGAGTCTAGTATCCAGATCATATAAACAGCTCTTATATTCTGGTGTTCTAGGCTGACTAGAGCTAATAATATTATATCACATATTTCTGGCTAGAGTAGAGGATCCTGACCTCAATCACCACAAAGAAAAGATAAATGTTCAAGGCAGGGACATGTATTTACCCTAAATGAATTATTGTACAAACATACATGTATTGAAACAACACACTGTATCCCACAAATACACACAATTAAATTTTTAAATTAAAAAAAGAGCTTTTACAATTCAACAATAAAAAGACAAATAACTCAATTTCAAAATGGGCAAAGGATTTAAATAGACATTTCTCCTAAAAAGATATACAGATGGTCACATGAAAAAATTCTCAACATTATTCACCAGCTGGGAAATTCAAATCCAAACCACAATGAGTTACCACTTTATACCTATTATGAGGGCCATAATAAAAAAATAAAATTAAGAAAGGACACTAGCAAGTTTGGGTAAGTATGTTTAGAAACTAAAACCCTCATGCACTGCTGGTGGGAGTGCAAAGTTGTGCAGCCACTTTGGAAAAGTTTGTCATTTCCTCGAAAAGTTCAACATAAGAGTTGCGATATGACCCAGCAATTTCACTCCTAGGTATATACCCATGATAAGTGAAAACATACGTTTATACGAAAACGTGTACACAAATGCTCACAGCGACATTATTTATGACAGCCAAAAAGTGGAAACAGTCCAAATGTCCACCAACTGATAGTGGATAAACATAATGTGGAATATCCATACAATATTATTCAGCCATAGAAAAATGAAATACTGACACCTGCTACAACATGAATGAAGCTTGAAATCATTATGTGAAGTTAAAGAAGCCAGACCCAAAAGCCACATATTATATGCTTCAATTTATATGAAATGTCCAGAATAGACCAGTCCATAAATACAGAAAGCAGATTGTTTGCCAAGGTCTGGGGAAAGGGGGAATGAGGAGCAACTGCTACTGAATGTCTTTTGAGGGTGATGAAAATGTTTCCAGATTAGATAGTGGTGACAGTTGCACAATTTGATGAATATACTGATAACCATTGAATTGTTCACTTTACACTGGTAAATGTAATGGTAAGTGAATTATATCTCAATAAAATTTTTAAAAACAAACACAAGAGGTGGACTTTGAGAGACCAATGATGAAAATGCACTATAAATCTAGGAATGAAACTCAAACCTCTGTGCAGGATGGGGAGGAATATTAATAAAATTGAATTAGGGCAAATGTAAGGGAAAGGGGTTTCCCATCCATTGCTGGTGTCAGTATAAACTGGCACATTCATAAATCTAGGAATGAAACTCAAACCTCTGTGCAGGATGGGGAGGAATATTAATAAAATTGAATTGGGGCAAATGTAAGGGAAAGGGGTTTCCCATCCATTGCTGGTGTCAGTATAAACTGGCACATTTATCTGAGTAAGTAACTTAGTAGCATCTATCAGAAAAGATAAGGCACATACCCTATAATTCAGGATTTTCATTTGTAGAAATTTAAAATCAATGTGTGGTTAGCACAGTTAGCACTCAAGGAATATTCTTTCCTATTATAAAGGTGATAATCATAAGGAGAGATGATAAATTATGCAATAAACTGCAGCCAAATTCAGCTCTGACTTCCGATTCTTTTTGGAAAAATAATAAGATAGTGTTCATACTACAGTGTGGTATGGCCATGAAATTTCTGATCTTTTAATCTTTGCAAGCTGCATAAAATGAAAAATGAAATTCTCCTCTAAAATATAGGGTCTTTTTTCTAGGGATTCTGAGCATGTACTAGCAGAACAGTTAAAGATTCTCATGTACAGTCTTCACCTCTTGAAAAAAGGGGCATAGTGAGGTGGGATTTGGGTGGAGTAGAGGAAACAAGGCTTGAGTCTCAGCCAAACCCCAAGAAGATGGAGAAAAGACAGGAATACTCAGAGGCTTCTGCAGGAAGCCTCATAAAAATGAGCAATTACTATGCAGAGATTGACAAAATCAATGACCACTAAAAGAAGTGCCTAAGTAAACCTGTATCTTTTTTCCCTTTAATTCTTTCTCCAGATGGTGATATCTCTTTAAATGTGGAATTGCTATTATTTGTAAACACTGTGCTTTGCTCACCAAATGAAGAGTTCTAACGAGGTAGAAAAAGTCCAAAAAGAGAAAAAATATGTCAATCTATTTTGCCAATTAATCATACCCAGACCTTTCGGTCTATGAAGACATACCCTGAAGTCAAGTAGCCCAGATTACAGGCAAAGCATCAAGCAAGGAGAAATAGCTTCTGAAATCTACCCCATAACACCAGAGGTGACAAGTGACAGCTAAACCTCCAGGACGCTCATTGCTTCACCACTCCTCTGGATCTGGTCCTATGGAAGCATGGAGTGTCCATCAACCCACCTGCCACCACCCCCCAGGTCTCATCTTCCTATCTACCCAGTATGGTGAGACATGGTGGGGGGGGGGGACAGGGATTGTGACATAAGTAAATGCCCTCAGGTGCTATATGTAAATGCCAGCCCATGAGCTTCCTGGCACGGACACCACCTGTGAAGGCCTCATAACAGTCAACTTCTTGCAACCCCCAAGCTGACGACCTGACCAGGGGGAAGAGGGACCCCTCCACTGGAGAACTGACTGCAGGATTCTGGTAGAAGAGGCATCAAGAGTAGTAGGGGCCAGGTGACAATTATGTAGGTGCCATGGAGACTGCTATGTGTGTTTGTTCTCCATGTTGTACATGGCAGAGATGTTGTCCTCACTTATGCTCCTGTCTGTGCTGCAAGTTCATCTTCACCTCGGAGCGGAACTGCACCTGTTTCCCCTGCCCTTACAAGGATGAGCGGAACTGCCAGTGCTGTCATTGCACCTGTGCAGAGAGCCCCAACTGCCACTGGTGCTGTTGCTCCTGGGCCAATGATCCCAACTGCAAGTACTGCTGCACGGCCAGCAGCAACGTCAAGTTCTACTACTATGAGAGCCGCTGCTGCCGCAATGCCACCATCACATTCCACAAGGGCCGCCTCAAGAGCATCCGTACCTCGTAAGTGCCAGGCACCCAATGAGGGGCCACATTGGCTCAGGAGAACTGGGGACCTCATACCAGCTGTGGGGTCCACAGGGCAACAGTGCCCCCCAAGTCCGTTCCTCTATCTGAAAAAAGGAGGCCAAGAATTTTGTAGCAATTAAGTGTCTCCTAAACAGCCACTAACTGTATATAGACCTTGAGTTCCAAATCTAAGCTCCATTAACTGTATGAATGACCACCACCGCACTCTTCTGAACCCAACTCTCTCATCTGTACAAGACAGTCATAGCTAATTCCTAATGCTTAAGCAACTTGCCAGGCACTGCACGCATGACCCCAGCTAATCCTCACCCCAAGCACACTGTGCCCATGAGGAAACTGAGTCTTGGAGAGTTTTATTTCCCAGGATCACACAGCTAGTATGAGGCAGTTAGGATATGAACCCAGAGTTTGTGCTCTTAACTTTAAAATGCCATACTGTGGGGCTGGCTGATTAGCTCAATTGGGTAGAGTACAGTGTTATAACACCAAGGTCAAGGTTTCAGATCCCCATAACTGGCCAGCCACTAAAAACTAAATAAATAAAATGCTATATGGCAAAATGGAGACAACAATACCTGCCATAGTATAGTAGGTATGAGGATTAATTTATGTGCTTCGTAATCTGTTATGTGATATAAAACTCTTGGTATCTATAACATTTATTAGAAAAATAAGAACTTTCATGGACCACTTTTGACCCCAACGACCTGTATAAGTACTCCAGACACCCATGAACTCCTGCTGGTCTTTTCTTTCCTATCCAGAAGTCATGGCACTTAGGGTCTCAGTTACTCATCTGGGGTATAAACCGTCCATGTCAGGCATGTCCTCTTCCTGCTCTGCCAGACCAGTCTTATGTCACACATGAGGGGAGTCTGGAGTGGTAAGGACAGACTTCTTAAAGGAGGAAAAACCATAGTTCAGCACCAGAAGATGACAGGATTAGAAAAGGCAGAAAAATGGGAGGCAGGTTTGAAGATTTTCAAGGTCAGAAAAGCAATTCTGTGAGCGAAGGTTTAGTGAATTCAGGTAGGTGTGAGGATTAATGTGTGTTTCCTAATCTGTTATGGGATCGAAAAATATAAATTGAATATGATCCATCTTGCAATTAAGCACTTAGTAGATGTTTATTAAATCTTCCTTTCCACCCATGGCCCTCTCATGGTGTTTGCATGAATATGTGTTTGCAGGAATTCTGAATGCAGGTCCAGAAATTCTAAGGCATGGAAAGAAGTGTCCATATTCCTTTCTCCTCTGAACTGCCTCATTCTCT